ACTTCTTGCCTGGGAGGGTGCCCGAGCCCTGGCCCAGGCTGCCCAGGGGGGCTGTGGAGTCTCCTTCTCTGGAGATCTTCACCCCCCGCCTGGACGCTGTCCTGTGCCCCCTGCTCTGGGTGACCCTGCTTGGGTGGGGGGGTGGCACTGGGTGAGCTCCTGAGGTCCCTTCCAACCCCAGCCAGGCCGGGATTCTGGCATTCTGTGATTTCAATCTGTGATTATCGGCACGTTTCCCTGAATTCCGTGCTTTGGAAAGCTATTGGGCAGCCAAGGAAAAGCTGCGTGGGTTGCGTCACCCTCTCCCACCATCAGGATCCTTTCCTCTCTCAGCCTCTGGGGACCCACGTCGAAGAGTCAGCGCGTTCTGGTTCTTGGGGGCTTGCAACAGAATCATCCTCCTTGTACGGGGTAGCGGTTTATTTTGCAAGGAACAGGGCGAGAGCCCCGGGATCTCATTTTCAGTGTTGCACGAGGCTTTGCTGAAGGTGCTTGAACGCCACAGAGATCTTACTCGATGGCTTTTGCAAAAGGGGAAGGTCCTGGGGACCCCAAAAAACCGTCAAAATTAATGGCAGACCGTGGAGAGAAGTTGCCAGGGGCCCCAAAATATCAAAATTAACGACAGACTGCGGAGAGAAGTTGTTGGGGACCCTGAGAACGTCAAAATTAATGGCAGAACGTGGAGGGAAGTTGCCAGGGACCCCAAGAACATAAAAATTAACAGCAGACCACGGAGAGAAGTTGCCAGTGACCCCAAAACGTCAAAATTCACTGCAGACCACAGAGAGATGTTGTTAGGGACCCCAAAAAGTCAAAATTAATGGCAGAACATGGATGGAAGTTGCCACGGACCCCAAAACATCAAAATTAACAGCAGAGCGTGGAGGGAAGTTGTTGGGGACCCCAAAACATCAAAATTCATTGCAGAGCATGGAGAGATGTGTAAGGGACCCTGAGAACGTCAAAATTAACAGCAGATTGTGAAGAGAAGTTGCCAGGGACCCCAAAACATCAATATTCACTGCAGACCACAGAGAGATGTTGTTAGGGACCCCAAAAAGTCAAAATTAATGGCAGAACATGGAGGGAAGTTGCCAGGGACCCCAAAAACATAAAAGTTAACAGCAGACCACAGAGTGAAGTTGTTGAGGACCCCAAAATGTCAAAATTCACTGCAGACCACAGAGAGATGTTGTTAGGGACCCTGAGAACATCAAAATTCACCGCAGCCCGTGGGGAGAAGTTGCCAGGGACCCCAGAAAGTCAAAATTAACGGCGGACCGCAGAGAGAAGTTGTTTGGGACCCTGAGAACATCAAAAGTAACAGCAGACCAGAAAAAGAAGTTGCCAGGGACCCTAAGAACATCAACATTAACAGCAGATTGTGGAGAGAAGTTGTTGGGGACCCCAAAACATCAAAATTCACTGCAGACCACGGAGAGAAGTTTCCAGGGACCCCGAGAACATCAAAATTAACAGCAGACCACGGAGAGAAGTTCTTGGGGACCCCAAATCATCAAAGTAAAAGGCAGACCACGGAGAGAAGTTCTTGGGGACCCCAAATCATCAAAGTAAAAGGCAGACCACGGAGAGAAGTTCTTGGGGACCCCAAATCATCAAAGTAAAAGGCAGGCCATAGAGAGAAGTTCTTGGGGACCCCAAATCATCAAAGTAAAAGGCAGACCACGGAGAGAAGCACTGGAGAGGACAAAGAAAAGTTCTCCCTGGCGTCAGGAGCCAGGTGAACCCAAACCCAACCAAAATTCCCGCTCCTCCCCGTTGCAGCTGAAGCCTTGCACGACCCCCCGGCCCCCCGAGCTGCCCACTCACCCGGCGGTTGTGGTTGTGGTCGAGCGATTTGAGGTGTTTCTGGATGATGCCGTACTGCATGGGGATGAAGAGGTCGCAGGCGGCGCAGTGAGCGGCCTCCACCTTCTTAATGAAATGCTCCATGCCGACGTCTGAAATGGAAGGGAGGAACAGCCTGAACGGGAAAACGGCCCGGGCACCTGCGCTGCGTTACGGATCTTACTCCGGCCTGCGTTATAAACCCCCTTCCCGAGCCCCCTTCCCGAGCTCCCCC